TTATTATTATTATTATTATTATTATTATTATTATTATTATTATTATTCCTTCAGTAAATACATTTCTAACTGCTTCCAGAAAAGTTCAAACCAACTGGAGAATAGATATAAAGATCTAAAGGAAATCATATACCGAAAGAACTTCAAGCAAGATTGCAGTTTATTCTCATTTTCCGTTCTCTTTCCTATGGCAAATGGATAACAGTCTGATTGCTAAGACATAGAAAGCTGCATGCCCACATCACATGATTGTGCCTTAGATAAGAAAAATTATATATAGTCTTTGAGAAAATAATTGGATTGGTCAATGTAAAAAGACCCTTTAAAGATATTCTTCCCATCCATTTAGGGCTATTCAAAAACAAATGCATTCATTTTATCATTAATTACAAAGTATTTATATGTTGGCCAGCTGTCTTCCATTGCCCTAATATTTTTTTCTTTTAGTTTTTTGAAACAATCTAATATCAACGAAAATTCTTTGTTTCACACTGACATACTCTTTGTGCTCCTATGTTTGACTTGGTAGCTTGTAATTTATAGAAAGTGCTGTCACTTCCCACAGGTTTTTCCCCACCTACAATTTGAAAATAGAATGGCTGCTTTCTTAAGAGAATATCTCTTTTTGATTTGATGAATTAGTGCTGCATTATGCAAATGGTGCTATAGTAATAACATGTATATTTTTAAGTATTTTAGTGAATTATTACACCATTGCAAACTCTTTGACAGTTAACAAAAACAAAAATGCTCACAATACAAGAATAATAACTAAAACAGTGAAACCATAAAAAGGCACCATTATTTTAAATTGAAATGGTGAACAATGTGATGGTACCATGCTAATGAATTAATTAAAAGTTCATCCAGCAGAGCTCTGCTTTTGACTAATAATGCCAAATTTTGGGCAAGCTGCACTTCCTATGGAAGGCTATTCTACAAAATTGGGGTTGCAATGGACATGCAACTCATCCTAGCTTCTCAGTAAATGTGCAGTATGTGGATTAGCAACATTTTTTATTACAATTTATATTGAACCAGTCAATTCTGGTACAAAGTGATGGTTCTGGATGTGCAAAGTAGGGTTGTATAAGTTAAAACAAATATTTGAAATTTCCTCCAGAAACTTGTTGGTAATCAGTGTAAGGCTAAAGCACAGGTATATTTATGCTAGCAAACAAATGGGCTGCTGCATTTTGTACTAATTGTAATTTCTGAGGGATCCTTAAAGGCAGATACATGTAGAGAAAACAGCAGCATATTGTGGCCAGTCCAGCCTGGTAATGATAAAAGTGTGAACCGTAGTTGCCAGTGGTCTTGCTCCAGGTAAGTTTGTAATTGGTATACCAGTTAAAACTGGGGAAAGGCTTTCCTGGCCATTACCTCCACTTGTCCACCAAGAACTTATCATGAGTCTACAAAGACTTCCAAATCACTGACTTGCTTCATTTGCAATGCCATCCCATTCAACAGCAATGTCAGCCTGGCAGAGCTCATCTGAGCAAACTGTAGCAAACTCTTTCCATTCAGCCTGTGATACCACATCCAAACCAATTAATAACCTCTCCAAATGGCTTCCTACAGATGTCAAAAAGGGAGAGTGGGAGAAGCATCTAACTCTATAACATTCCAAATCCATGAGGCCATTGGGATGACCTCTTCCTTTCTACAATCACTGATTTTGACTACCCACCAAGAAACCATAATAATATGCCGGCAACAATTTTTAGTTCCTATAGGTGGCCTAAAAAGGAACAATAGTTGATAGAATCAGATTCTTCCAAGAGGTTTAACAAAACCAGAAGGCACAAGCAAGTTCTGTTTAGATCCTGAGAAACATCATCACAAGTAGGGTGACTGATATGATTTAAGCCTCGTATCTGAACTTTTCAAGTTGCCTAAACATTCCCTCATGAATTGAGACATTGGCCAGCTGACCACACCATCACTCCACAGGAATCAGGAGAAGCAGCATGGATCCCATTGACATGCTGCATGGGGTATATTGGCAAGCTTCAGTCAGTTCAGCAGTCTTTATGACAAAAGGATTCCCATGTTACATGACAAGACATTCTGGTTACCACCATAGACTTCCTCCACCTTCCTCCATTAATGCTCCAGGCATGCTTCTGCCACTTCATTTCCTGAGCAGCTCAGTAAATCAGGAATTAACTGCAATAATCTAGTAGCAAGAGGTGCTCAAGAGCAGTCATGCCAAGTGTCACCTACTATTGCTAGTCTCTGAATAGGATAACAGTGGAAATTCTACCATATTGCTGAAAAAAATTCATGTATTTATGGAATCCATTTGGATCCATAGTGCATCTGAATGAGTAATTCTAATTAGCCTGTGCTTTCTCAGGAGACTAGAGTCTTATTCCATGTTTAGTTTGTTTTATTGCTGTCACTAAATGGAATGTGCCTGATATAAGCAGGCACTTTCTGTTTGCTGTCCCTCAATTTGTAGATTTTCTGAAAACCGCTCGCATTTCTGCTATCTCAGGAGTATAGGAGTTTGCCTGGAGCTTTTACATTAATATTCTGATGTACTTTGGAGTGCAGTTTTCATATGCTACATCCTCAATGGACAACATCTGTGGATTACCGAAAATATAGTTTAAAATAGCTGGAAGGCTCCAGGTTCCTTCAAATCTTGGCTAGGATTTGAACTGAAAAAAATAACTAAGAAATTAAAAGATCCTTTTAAGGATTTTTTTAAAATAGAAGAATCAGTTTTAGTCCAAGCTAGTGCGAAATAGTACCATTACTTGCATGTTTAAGATTGCTGAATATAAGTACAGCATTAAAGAGAATATTGTCTGCCCTGAGCACATCATTTGTGCAATACCTATCCAGACAGAAGAATCCATGTTGTGCACAGCTCAGCACAGACAATTAGTGAAGATTCAATTACAGACCTCTTAGGTGATTAGGTTTCATTCCTAGGCTTAGGTGATATGTGAAAAAGAAAGGAGAATCATGAGAAAGCTCAGAAATGAACACCGTTTGTGCATTAGAACAGGTGGGAAATGCTACATACAACTACTCACACTGCGTAGCTTGGATAAAATTACCCTGGATAAAAGCATGGTGTCTGTGGACCAGACCAGTTGCTTTTACATGAATATATCCCATGAGTAATCTTTCTCATCTCTTTTTTTCCAATTTATAAATTTTTCCTACACAACACCTGTTCTTGCCAGGATAGGATAATTTGCACTCTGGGAGAAGAAATGAGATTCTTACAATGTTGAATTGAATTAACTTTTGAATAAATGCAGAAACATGAAAGGCACTTCATAGCTTATCTTCTTCAATGCTGTACATAGTTTCCTCTCAAAAGACTTCAAAATTGGGGCTTTTCCCATTTATATGCTGCACAAACACAGTGTTATGCACGCATACACAATTGAATGTAATGATTTTTAGATCAGTTAAACACAATGGGGGAAAATACTGCTGAAAGGGTTATTCATGCTCCCTTCGGCACATTTGTGTTTTGGTTTTCCTATTGATTTTCTAAAAAGATTTCATAATTTTCATAAGAAACGTTTTATTTAGAGGACTGTGATCCTGGAATAAATCACCAACTCATAATATAAATTAGGAAATATTAATTGCTGAACTTTTCCTACTATCACACTCTGATAGTATAAGAAGAGTCCAATGAGCCAGGCTAAAGGTCCATCTAGTGCAGCATTCAGTTCAGCAAGTGACCAACCAAATTCTGATCATGGAATTACTCCGTTACTTTCATGGCCATCAATAGCCTTGTATTCTATGAATTTTTAATCCTTTTTTTAAACAGTAGGACAGTGTGTGTGTGTGTGTGCATGCGTCAAAAAACTCAAGATAGCAGGCATGATTGCAAGTTCAAAGTCCAACACTTTTCTATGTATATTGATATCCTTTCTTTAAAGCTATCTGATCTGGTAATCATTAGTGCATTATATGGTACTGCTTAGCTTAGTTTAACTACAGTATTTGGCACATGAAGTAGGTGCTTTCTGTGAATAACGTTGGATGACAATTTTTTCAAATTTTTGCTTCCTGAAAAACTTTTGTTGATTATGATAGATCCTTCAAACTGAACACAAATATAATTTTATTTATTTATTTATTTATTGGTCAAACATGTACAAGATAGCAGGTAAAGTATAAACATAAACATGAACAAAGGAAATAAATACAGATAAATGGAAACAATAAAACAGGGACGGTAGGCATGCTGGTGTGCTTATTCATGCCCTCTTTACGGACCTCTTATGAATGGGCTGAAGCCCATGGTAGACAGTTTGAGGTTGAAGCTGAAAGGGTTTGAGGCTGTAACAATGAATGTGTCACATAGGAATCTTGGGAAATATGACATTATCTTTTAATGACTATATAATGACAACATAATATATTTAATGGCATAATGTTTCTGACATATTGCATGAGTTCAACTCAACGTCCAATGCATCTCACTGTAGGGTCCAACAATAGCCAGCCAACACTGATGGATTCCAGCTGCCCTGATACCTTTTGTCCATTGTGATAATGTCCTCATGAAAACTTTCATCATGTTTGTCACTGACTCCACCTAGATTTTCAGGAAAGAAGTCCAAGTTTGAATGCAGAAAATGAAATTCTCAGTGACATTCTTGAATGCTTTCCAAGCAATTTTCTCTGGCCCAACTAACAGATCTTCAAACCACTTATCATTGATGATGTATCTGATCTGTGCACCAAAAATCTGCCTTCCTTAATGCTGGCATGAGGTATTCTTGGAAACCTCTGTCTCAAATATTGAAAACCTTCATGTTCTCTTGCTCATCGCTTTCATAACATTTTTCATCAGTTCAAGTGCAGAATCAAAAACATCTTTGCCAGGTCAACAAGCAGTTCATTTGTCACATTTTTTTATTCTGGAACCAAATTCTTCGGCAATGGCCATTTCTTTTTAATGTACTGCATAAGGTACCCTTTTTAATGTACTCTCTTGCACAGCTATCCCATTCTCATATGTAACTACCAATACAGTAAACCTGGTATATCCAAGCTGCATTCCAAGCAGCAGAGCTATTACTTCATTTCGATCTTGAGCTACAAATATTCTCCTTCATTAGAGCCACTACTTTTAGATCCCCATGGATCTAAATAGTTCCATAGTTCTACTTGGTGTACTGGATGTGCTTCAACAACAATCACATGTTTTCATATGTTTCTTTCATGTATGCAGCATAGCCAACAGGTACTAAAGGGTGTACAAAATAAGAAGATGAAATGGTATCTGATAGATTAAATTAAAGGTTATTTTCATGAGTATCAGCCAAACATCTATAAGATACACCCAAAAATGTTCAGGAATCAAAAAAATTGTCATCCAGTGTAATCCTGGACATTATATGCAGTACTATGTTTGTTGAATCTCTTCAATAAATATAATATTCTTCTTATTTCTACATCTACTGCTTAGATCAGGGGTGGGATTCAGTTTTTTTAAGAACTGGTTCTGGAGACAGGAAGTCTAGGTGTACTGGCAAGAATGTAATAAGGGTGGAAAAAAACAAAAGGAGATTGCTTCTAATACCGGTTCTCTGAACTGCTTAGAAAGTTAACAAGGGGTTCTATAGAACCAGATAGAACTGGTAGAATCCCACCCCTGGCTTAGATGTAGGGTAGCTTGAAGAGCATCGGAGTGATCTGACTTGCTCTTCCCTTCCAACAAAAGATAGGCCTATAGTAATAGCAAAAAACTGACTTGTCAGGGAGATATGCTTATTTATAATTCATGTTGCTATCATATTTTCTACAAGCAATGGAACTGAAATAAATTAAACTGTAGGCAGAACGAGGCCAACATTTCTCCAACTGATGATGTGATAAGAAACTGCAGATCCAGAAGATCTAGCAGCCTTCCATCCTTCCAAGGCTGGTAAAATGAAGACCCAGATTGTTGGGGACAATATGCTGATTCTATAAACCACTTAGAGAGGGCTGTAAAGCACTGTGAAATGGTATATAAGTGCTATTGCTATTTTTCTTTTTAATATTAGAACTCTAATGTGTAGGAGAAGAAGGATTCTATAAAAAATCACTGACTTTCCAAGATCAGTGGGCATTCCTGGGACATTCTTCTATTATCTGGGTATTTTTTTTTACCAGCTTTACATTAGGAACCTGCAGAATGAAATTATAGAACTTTCTGAAAACTGAAAAGAAATACATCACAACGGTCTTATTAGGTTTGTGCTGCTCTGAACCAGATAAACTTTTTTATATTTTCTTAAATTATTTTGAAAGTGTTTAGTTAGACTAAGGGATGAGATTTTCATAGAGAGACTCTAATTTTCATAAGCCAAGGCCTGTCTCCTTCTAAATCCTTACAACAATAAATAGTGATGATTCCATAAAGATTGTACAATCTTGCATTGTACAACATTCATCATCCACTATTAATACCATACAACATCATTGCTCCTTTCTGGAAGCTTATCTGACTTTATAGCAGTGAATGGTAGGAAACACTCAACAAACAGTTAACTTAGGCTGTGGATTCTATAAATTAGCAGAGCAATTCAATGAGATAGTATTAATTGCTGTTAGGAAACTCAGAATTTAGGAGCTACTTAGTATTTCATTGCCATGAAATGTTCTAGTTAGTAATGTCCCATTCTTTAGCTTCATTGCCTTTTTCTTCCATGTGAGATATTACCCTTATAATCTTAAGTGATCTGAAAAAATATGAGATGCAGTAAGCCAGACAGTTTAGAAATCTACTCAAAGTAATTAATAATCTAGATGGAAAATTTCATAGCATTTGTTCCAATTAAGAACAAATCCTGTCCACGCTGTTAATAAGATTTTAATTCCCTCCCAATCACTTTATCTTTTGTCTGTAAAAATGGGAAAGTATCTGGCGAGCACAAAAGCTGGCCACATTTTTGAGATAAAATGGAACCATTTCTCTTCATTGCAGGACATTTAATGCCCTGATGTTGAATATAGATTTCAGCTTGCAAAAATAGGTTCTTACTTATTCTTATCAAGGGGATAGCGGAGGTGTGTGGAAGGGTTAAAAATTGTGGCTTTTTATTGCTGATTGCCACCTGGTGTCACCATGTGTGAGTTGAAGGGCTATATACATTTTAATAAATATATAAAAGATCCCCCAAATGGGCATCCAATTACTTTGGTTAGAGTTGGAAGGGGAAAATAATTCCTGATAGCATAAAAAGCCAAGAGCAATAAATTCCAAAGAGCTTTTGACAGGAGGGACAATGTGGCTAAGACCCAAACAGTTGTATAGTCAGGGCCAGATGCCCAACAGGATTAATGCACACATGCACAGTGCATGCAAAGCATTTCCCAATCAGTGGGACTCTTATATTGCATGAATATGTAGAGAACCATCATATCTCTGCTACAGTCACTATATTTATTCTGAAATTCTGCATTATTTTTAAGACATGCCTATAAAGAAAAGATATATATAGTGAAAAAATTATTGATTAAAAATTGCTTAATTTGCTTGAGATTATTTAAGCCTTAATTCATAACTTGGTTGAAATTTAATTTTGGACACTCTGGTTCAGTGTTTTTTCTGGTGAGACTGGCCTATCAGGGCAACCTGGTCTACCCAAATATGGGAGGGAGCAGTGGTTCCCAAAATGGGTGGTACCGCCCCCTGGAGGTGGTGGGATGACTTAGGGGGGCACTAAGAGGCAAGGGGGTGGCAGAGGAGTGCTGGAGGTCGGCCCCCCACAGGGTGCAATTCAGTTTCCCCCCCCCACTTGCTTGGCTTGCTGGTGGCCGAGAGGAAGGCGAGCCAGGGCTGACCCGTTGCCGCTTGGGTCCCACCTGGATTCTCTGCAGCTGCTGTGCCTTGCCTGCTAGGGGCGGGGGTGGGGGTGACCAGGAAGCACGATGCTATGCCTCCTGCATCGCCCCTTGCTTGCCATCCCTTTCCTCTGCCCCCCGCCAACCTGTGCACTTTGCCTGAATGTGGGCCGCCGCAGGCTGTGAGAATTATATGAGTCAAGCCTCATGAGAGCAGATCTTCCACCCATGGAGCTTGCATAGTGGTTGCCCGCATTTGGCTAAAATGCTCAGAGGGGTGGCTGGCAGAGGGGCAATGCAGACGGTGTAAGCTTCATGCTTCCTGGTTGCCTCCCGCACTCCCCCTCAGCAGCTGCAACCCGCGAGCCCCAGCAGCTGATGAGATGCGGGCTGGTGGAGAGCTGAGTAGTGACCGGTCTGCCCTGATTGTGAGCCAGTCAGGGTGGGCTGGTTCACCTTTCCTGAAGCTCACTTCTCCCGCAGCTCCTGCGGTGGGCAAGGCTGCAGCTCACTTGAAGTTCCCAGCCCTTTCCCCAAAAGAGGGAGGGGTGGAAGTCCCGCCTGCGGCCCCTTTTTTGGACCCAGAAGGCTTTTCCAGGCAATGCGGGACTGGGCATGCCCGGTCCCTGAGACTCTGGGAGACTTGTCATGAGTGATGCTGCCAGGTGACTACCTTGTTGGAAGAGTGTGTGTATGTGTGTGTTTCAGGTGGGTCTCCTAGCTTAGGAGGAGAGAGCGAAGGAGAAAGGGAAGGGATAGAGAGAGAGAAAGAGAGAGGAAAAGAGAGAAAGAGAGAGAGAGAGATAAGGAAGAGGCAAGAAAGAAAAGAAAGAGAAAAGGGAAAGAAAGGAAAAGGGAGAGAGAAAGGAAGAGAAAGGAAGAAAAAAGATAGACAAAGCAAGAGGAGGGGATGGAAAGAAGGGACAGAAAGAAAGAGAAAGAAAGAAAGAAAGAAAAAAGAAAGAAAGAAAGAAAGAAAGAAAGAAAGGAAGGAAGGAAGGAAGGAAGGAAGGAAGGAAGGAAGGAAGGAAGGGAGGGAGGGAGGGAGGGAGGGAGGGAGGGAGGAGAAAGTGAATGAGATATCTAGTCCAACCACCTGTTCCAGCAGGGTTAGAAGGGAGTGTGTGTGTGTGTGTGTGTGTGTGTGTGTGTGTGTGCATGGCTATCAAAAGTCCAAAAACAGGTCAAGTAGCTCTGGGGAGGTCAGTCATAAATTAGAACACATGTTAAACAACCAGCCATTAAATGAGGACCACTTGTATTTGGTTTGCAAGTCATCTGGCCACCTGGCCACACCCACCCAGTCACATGACCACCAAACCATGCCCAGCCAGTAAGCCATGCCCATCCGGTCATTTGATCACCAAGCCACACCCACAAATTAGGCCACGCCCACAGAACCAGTTAACAAATTTGAATCCCACCTCTGGGTAGGGGGCACTGAGGATTGTAGCACCAAGGGAGCGGTGGACTGAAAAAGTTTGGGAACCACTGGGATGGAGCATACAGCTTCTGCTTTCACCTTTCAGCCCCAATCCAGGAGCCTTCACAGGCAGTCACTTTTGTAACAAACTATTGTAGCTATAACTAGACATAAATTCGACTTTCTGGTTCATTCTTCAATTTCTCCAATTCTATTATACTGATTTCAGAGAAAACGCACATATCTTTGATTACTCCATTAAAGCTGTGGCGTGGGATACAGTTGCCTGGATGAAGTCTATTCATCCAGGCAACTGTACTAAGTGGAACTGGAATGTGATTGCCCAGTTGTATAAATATGTATTTTATACATAATATACGTATAAAAATAATCTAAAGATATTCCCGATCCCATGGGAAATGAGTCCTAGTTATCTGAAGGATGCTAGACTATCTAAATGAAACCAGGCAAGCTAAAAATAAGACTGTTCCACTTATTCCTACATGAAACATAATCATAGCTCTAGGGATGTGCTTACATATCATTTTTTGCACCCAACTAATCAATGCCTCTGGCAAGATGAACAGTACAATAGGCTATACCGTTTATTCTTAAAGCAAAGTTGAACATCTATTTCAGTCAGCAAAAATAAGACCCAGTGTTATACAAACTCCTTGTAAAATTACAAATAAAACAAGTGAAATTAAACTAAACTAGACTAATTAGACTAATAAGATGCAACTGCAGCTATATTCCATCTGATTATGTACTGCAGGTAAACAATAGCTTTAATGCTTTAGATTTGGTAAATGGAGTATCCAAAGGATTGTAGACTGAAATCTGTAACATGAGGTAATTAAAAAAATGTCTGAAATGTAAAAAGAAGAAGAAGAAGAAGAAGAAGAAGAAGAAGAAGAAGAAGAAGAA